TCTATTTGACAACAACCTTGCTCTGTAATAGGGACTCCTAGCTGTGAGTTGTCCCATTTTTAAAATCCTCTGATCCAAGTTCTTTTCCTGTTGGTAGACTCACTGGTATCAGAATAACCATCTCCTGGAAGCAGGGGAAACAACCCAAACACGTCTTCAGTCTACTCACAAGTGTGAACACAAAGCAGCTAAGGAAATAAAAGCCGAATTTCATAGTTTAAAAAAAGTTAAGAGTGCAAGTTTTCTTGTCATTATTTAACCAATTCAGTGCACATGTCATGGTACCATTCTGGTTTATTTTGGGCTGCATCAAAAGAAGCGTGGCCAGCAGGTCGAGGGAGGTGATTCTGCCCCTCTGCTCTGCTCTGGTGAGGCCTCACCTGGAGCACTGCGTCCAGCTCTGGGGCACTCAGCACAAGGAGGACATGGACCTGCTGGAGCGGGTCCAGAAGAGGGCCACCAAAATGTTCCGAGGGCTGGAGCACCTCTCCTATGAGACCAGGCTGAGGGAGTTGGGGTTGTTCAGCCTGGAGAAGAGAAGGCTGCGAGGAGACCTTATTGCGGCCTTCCAGTACTTAAAGGGGGCCTACAGGAAAGATGGGGAGAATCTTTTTAATAAGGCCTGTTGTGACAGGACAAGGAATAACGGATTTAAACTAAAGAAGAATAGATTTAGACTAGACATAAGAAAGAAATTTTTTACAATGAGGGTGGTGAAGCACTGGCACAGGTTGCCCAGAGAGGTGGTGGAGGCCCCATCCCTGGCAACATTCAAGGTCAGGTTGGACGGGGCTCTGAGCACCCTGGTCTGGTTAAAGCTGTCCCTGCTCACTGCAGGGGGTTGGGCTAGATGACCTCTAAAGGTCCCTTCCAACCCAAAGCATTCTATGATTCCTTAGAATTAATGCAGTTACCAGGCTAAGTAGAGAAAAAGAAATGTCAGCCAGTCTTCTTTGTGTAGTTGTTGCCACAGTAGGGGATGAAAAATCTTCAGCAGTGTATTAATGGCTCACTTCTTGCCATGATCACAGCACATGTGCATGTATTTATTCTGAAGACCACAGTGGAGCCACATGAGAGACCGATAACGGGGTATCTCAAACTCTGCATGGCCACCAATGGCACTCAGTATCCTTTGCTAGCCTAGCAGAAAGGCAGCCAGGAGCTCCTCATGGAACAGTTTGGCCGGACTGCCATCGTTCCCTGGAGAAGATGGGCAATGGGGGCCCAGGGAGTGTTTGCAGCCCAGACAATGAAGCGCTTCTCCCTGTACTTGGAAGCAGAAGGGGATGGCAGCATGAGGGCTGGCAGGCAGCTCCTCTTCTCTCTGCTGCTCATGTCAAGGTCCCCAAACAGTGCTCACTTTGTGCCACAGGCATAGAGAAACCCAACTGTATTTTTCACTCCTTTTAGTGCCTCTCTCCAAGCTTTCTCTTCTGGGCACTTGTTCCTGTCAAGGGCTGGGGGGACGCAAGGACTATGCAGGCTAGAACAGATGTTAGCATGGGCTTGTTGTTGAGGTGGTGTCTCAGAGCGCGGACAGCAATGCAGTCTTGCTCCCCTGCTGAGGTGGGGGTTGGTTTGTTCTGTACTGTGCAGAATGTTTTGTTTCCAAACAATTGCATTCATGCAGCTTTTTTGCCTTACTTCAACTAATGGCCAAAGGAAAAAAAAAAAAGAAAGAAAAAAAAAAAGAAAAAAACCCCAGTCAGTTTCAGGCTTATGCACAGCAGGCCCAAGAAGGGCACAGTACCAGTTCTGACACTGAAATTACTGTCTGGATATTGATTATTAGAAATATTATTTTTTAAAGCTGTAATGCAGAGCACAGCACGCAAGAACAACTGGCCTTTGGATAAGGTGTGCTTGACTGTAGATGTTACCAAAAAGACCAAAGAAGATTATGGCCACCCACCAAGGGAAGGAGCCTGTATCTGTGGGCTTTTCATGGAAGGTAAGAAATAAACTCAGACTGCTTGATCTCAGTAACCTAGTTCAGGGAGTCTAGCTTCCTTCATTAGGCAGGTAAGTTCCATCAGGAGTTGGACTAAAGTGTTGTGATCCTATGAAAAGCACCAAGGACGTTGAGGAATGGTGGTGGAGTGTTGGTGTTGGTCCACTGTGACTTTAAATTTCATACCAGCTTGGTGTCCTAATTATACTTCATGCATTTAAGTAACTGTTAACTGAGTCTGAACAAGGTCTGCATTGTAGTAAAGCAGCAGCTCTAATCTAGTTGAGGTTCAGAAGCTTAAAACTATTCCAAACTTTAAATTTCACCCCAATACTGATCACCTAGAAATGTTCTGCAGCTCTTAGAGGTGACGGATAGGGTTAGTAGTTACCAGATGTTGGTAACCTGGATCAAGTCATCTACACAGCTGCAGTTTAAAAAAAAAAAAAAAGCCAAAACCCACCCCCCCAAAACAAACACACAAAAACCCCATGAAAAAAGCTATTTTCAAAATCACTTTCTCCTGCTTTTTCTTTGGTAGAAGGTTGTCAGTTCTAAATAAACACATCTAAAGAACCCTGAATTTTTCATTTCCTGGGCCATAATACTTACAGGCTGTAGGGGAGACATACCAAGAAGCAAGGAAATACTTAAGAACCCCTGTATTAGCATGAAATATAACGACGCAAAGTAGGTGATACAAGTTTGACACGAGTAGATTTTTCATCTGGGTTCCCAAGCAGTCAATTATTGCAGTAGCTGTAACATGGTTGTAGGCTGTCCCTGAATAGAAATTGTGTTCATCTGTTGAGCTGCAACCCCTCTTTTAACAGCTTTCAGAGGATAAACATTGTACCTTGCTCTTCTGGAACTGTATTTTCCTGAGACTGAAGCATATAGTTTAGGAATGACAACTAAGGCCTGCAGTCAAAATGAGATTTTAGTTTTAACTTAGGCTGTCAACTAAGTTACAGCTAATTAGAGGAAAGGTGAATGACTCCAACAGGCAATTAGAGAAACATCATCATTACTCGTACTCTTCACTAGACCTGAATATAATAAAAGGAAAGCAACTCTTTTGGAAGGGAGTTGCTACTACAGCAGGTAAGCCCAAAGGGGAAAGTCAGGGTGAGGGACTGGAGCAATGATGAGCATGCCATTTGACTGTTGCTTTTTGAAAAGGTAGCCTGAATTTTTCAGAGGATTTTTTTAAAAACACCTGTCATTCAAAGGGCAATACTGTTTGTTCATTCCTTCTCTGGATATGAGGAAGGTATCAAGGAACGTTGTCAGCTGCAGTTGCTATGCTTCTGTGTTTGTGTTGGTATTTGCAAATATAAACTTTCCTGTTGCTACATAAACACTCCCAAAATCCACAAGCATCTGTAATATTTTATATGCTGGTTTATGTTAGAAGAACACACAACAAACTTAACAAATCCAGCAGCTTTCAGAAAGTGAAAGTGCACGGCCCTTCAGCAGCACAGAACTCGTCTGTCTTAACTACACTGAAGTAGCTGTTTGATATCTCACTATACAAACATATGCTAAATACTCCAGTGTAGTTCTCCAGCGTTTGGAATACTTGACCATAAACTAGTGGAGAATTAGGAGAAAATCTGAGCACTTGACTTACTTTGACAGGCACACTCAGTCACAGGCATACTCAAAGTCCCAAGTGTAAGTAGTTGCCAGTCCCTGCTTTCAATAAAAGGATACGCAGATGAAATCAGAAGTCCAGTGCAGGCAGATGCTACATACTCATCTCCACATTCATACAAGGAGATGATGCACAACAGGCCACCAAAAGTCTACACTAAATCTGTATGTTCAAATGTAGCTTTAAGTGTTTAGCAATAAGCAACTGCTTAAACCCAAATTATTCTGGTCTTGCACTACAGAGCACCATGTAAACCTCGTGCTTACGCTTACTGCAGGTGCCAGGTGGGCCATCCAGCTCGGGACCATAGCTGAAGCCCGGCTCAAGGAACTGACTCCAGCAATGCCAGTCATTTTTGTAAGGGCTATGCCAGTGGATTGAAGGGAAACTAAGAATGTTTATGAATGTCCAGTTTATAAAACCAAAAGCAGAGGCCCAACTTACGTTTGGACTTTCTGTCTGAAAAGCCAGGAGAAGCCAGCTAAATGGGTTCTGGCAGGAGCAGCTTTACTCCTGGCAGTTTAGTACTAAGCTTTCAACAGTACATGCTGCTTTCTCAATCTGCCTTGCAGTTAAAGCAAAAGGAGATAAATATTTTTCAGTCAGCTGGAGCAGGAGATTTGCCTTACAAAAAACACAATCCTTAGTGTAGCACTTCTGTGCTCTACGTTGTGATTTCCTCATCTATCAGTGTTGTGTTCATGTGTTTCTCCACATAACGATTATTGATCTGCAAGCATTCTTTCATTACACCAGTTTGGGAAAGTAAATAGGAAACATCAGCATCTGAGTGTAGTTTGACTCACAAAATACTCCTCTTGATTATTCTTTATTCTCTCTAGATAAAATGAAATGTGTATCTTACACAACTTTTAACATAATCATACTGCAATACAAACATGTTGCATTTAAACAAAGTTGTTTGAAAGCTTGGTTGTACATATGAAAAAACACCTAAATATGAACCGTATGTAAAAAAAAGTAATCCTGAACTTTGTGATTTAAACCAGTTAACCAGTTATGACTGCTGTAAGGTAGTCTGTCCAGGCAGCAGGTGCATCACACAAAAACTGCTTGTAAGCAATTCTTTTTCTTTATTGGGATGATGCTTAATATGTTTTAATTTTTTTTTTTTTTTTTTTTTTTTACAAAACATTCTTCCACTTTCATGCTTCAGTGATTAATTGCACTTTGGAATAAAAAAAAAAGTCCTCCTCCCACTGGTAGGTTGCATCGGCTTTGGCTGGAATTTAATGGCATTCAGATGAAAGTAACTTTTCCTTCTTTGCAGGGACGAAGTTGCATAAGCTAGAGGTGGAGGAATAGGTTCAGAAAGCAAGGGTTTGAAAACTGAATCTTTAATGTCAAGTTGGAACACAAGGGTTTTTTTGCTTCTTTAAAGGCAGGGTATGCTTTACAGATAGTTGTTGAACACCCTTTCTGCAAACTTGCACAACTCTATAAATAAAAATATTGCTCAAATTGACCAAGTTCTCCATCATGTGGTTGTGTAGCTCTCTTAAAAATTAACCACTCAAGGTTCACGAGTGCCATTTCACTTAACATATAGGTCTGTGCATGTAGATATCTCTACCATAATTTTCCTGAGAGATGTTTTGCATAAGACCACATCAATCAAAAAGTTCCCAACACAGAAATGCATGTACTATACTCTACAATTCTATCTTATATAAAACATAGTAAAAACCTTTTGAAGTCAAAATTTGTCAACATAGTAACCAGTTGCAGGCCCAGCTTGAGTTCAGTGTTCTCAATTGTCATCCGCCAGTTGTTTTTGTAAACTAGAAGACATGTGAGAAAACAGTGTTAGTGCTTAAGAAAATCAGGTTCCCCACAAACAATTTCCATTGCTGAAGATGACAACTTCCAAAACAGCATTTCTATATGCCTGAAGCAATCAATACTGATTTCAAAATAGGGAAAAGCATTTCAATTTCTTAAGCTCATGAGCTGTTTACACAGACAATATGACTCACTTTAATGCAGCTGATATCAGCCTAGGAGAAATCTCAAGTCCAAGAGACTTCTTTTGCATAGGTCCAGGATCTGCCCCAGGCCACAAAAGTCAAGTATTATTTAAAGGGCTACAACAGTTTGAAAAGGAATGACTGCAGGGCACAGCCCTCACCTTTCCAGGTACTCCTTGACATTGTCGTAGCCATAGAACTTGGCCAAGTGGATAAGCATGCCCGTGGCACAGCGCCCATCCCGCCGGCGGCAGTAGCTGCAGTTGCACACCCCGCGACAGGGAGGACAGATCCAGGCCTGCAAGGGGATGAATGTGGGAGGGGAGTTAAGGGCAAGCCATGAGTAAGGTTACATTTGCCTTCCTATTGCTCAGGCAGACAAGAGTATGGCTTCCTTACTGTGTGATCATTCAGGGCAAGGTTTTAAAAGCCTGAATCAGTCAGCCAACCAACCCTGTTAACACTTTCCAAATTCTGCAGGATTAAAGAAATTATTAAGTATTTACCCCATTTGCTTGAATACTTCTTACTCCGAAGACTCAGGCTCTCTGATGTTTTCAGTATTACTTTAAAAATATACTAAAGGCATCTGTAATGCCTAATGATAACTCAGGAATCCTATGTTAGGTTGACCATAGTGAACTCCCCACAAAAAGATGAGTACCCACTGTGTCAAGTTTCCTTGGCTGTGCCTGCTGGCATATCCCGATTCCTGAGACTGAATTACCCAGCATGTACACGAAGCCAGGCATCTCCCAGCTGCTCAGCAACTGAACGTAGAGGTGCAGGTGCTAACAGCCTGCATTACACTATAGGAGCCATTGCCACACTGGGCCAGCACACTGGAGCCGATAGTTCTTTATTGTCCTTCAGAAGAGCCCAGAAGCCCATCTCTAAAGCAGAGGTGGGGGAGAGGAGGTCCCAGAACAAGCTGAGCAGAGAGCGCGCTATTCTGCCAAAAGGTCTTTGCATAGCCACGTGCCTCAGTCTCTGGCAGCACCCTGTGCTCTCTCCTTGCTCAGTGCCTCAGGGGACGACAGAGAAAAGGGAACCAACCCTAAGACTTTCCGGTATCCTTCTCCTTTTTTCTCATATTTAAAAATTACAATCTAAAACAAGGAACCTGCTGTGCATGCCATGTTACTGAGAGCATTAAAAAAACAGGGTACATTTTGGCATTTTTCTGAAAGGGGACAGATTCCTTTTAAAAGGTCTCACGTGTTTCCTCCACTATCTGGTAAGCAAGTGGCGCTTCAAAGCACGAAGCTGGATGGATGGTAACCCAGATCCAGCATCTTCCACTTGAGTTCCAACAAGCTCAGTGTCAGTCATAACAGTGCTACAGGTCTTCTCATCACAAAAAGCTTTGAACACCACGTTATCGTGATCATATACTCATCACAGCTTACTAACAAAATGGTATTCATTACACCTTCTTTTCAAGCCCAAGAAATGATACTTACTGGATCAAGCAGTGCTGATTTCACATCTTCCCCGTATCGATTTCGAAGACATGGTCCACAAAACTGCCCCCTCACGCCTCCACAGCCCTGGTTCCGACAGATTGTCTTTGTATCAATTGTCTTTTGTCGACACTGGTGGCAAGTACTACCCTAAAGTTGCAAAGGAGGAGAAATATGTATGAATGAAGGGTATCTTAAATGCCTGTGGCTGAACTTTCCTAATATATCTGCTGATAGCAAAGCACAAACGTCAAACCAAAGTAAAATTCAGGAATGAAAATCTTAGTAACAACCGTAAGTTCTGTTATTATGATAAATCATATAGTTATCTGGAGAAATGCTAGGGATTTTACAGAGATGGTACCCAGCCCCAGTAGCATTGGGAGTCTCAAACTATGTGAACTTCATGTTGTGGTTCTGATCCTTTCCTGTATCTAGGAAAAAAGCTAAACCTATTCAGAAAATGACCTTCTGACTTATCTCTGCAAATACAATGAAGCATGAAATATATAGTAAGCAATCACCTAGATCTTTATGACAATTAATAATAGCCAAATCCAGTGAAGGAAAGGAGGAGTTCCATCAAGAGCTTTGGAACCTATCCAACCCACAGAGAAGTGTTGTTTCTAGGGGGTACAAGGAGCAGCAGGGATTACTATTATTTAATGGTACAACCACCAGATTTATATTAGGTGAGAATGAGAGATAAAAGGGATGTCAACTCTTATCAGTGATGAGTCATAGCTATAGCAAATTCCACTTAATAGCTCTGTGGCAAGGAAGCACTTTGCAGAAGCAAAAAGTTGGTGGGGCGTATCAACCAGCATGGGCAAGCCCATGGAAGCCTGGCAAAGCTTCCAAGTTGTGCTTGTGTAATCTAATAATGCAAAGCTGCACTCTCCAGAACCTAAGGAAAGCATACCTTTTTAGCAAGCACCAGATGAACTGCTAGGAGACTTTCAATTTCAAGCAAATGGACACACTAAAGAAATCAGCAGCCACTTACTAGAACTTTGTCATAGATTTTGTCTTTAACAGTGATTGCAATGTTGTCCAAGTCCTCCTCAGTAATATCTTCTACTGGACGGTGAGCTGAATACTTTGATGATCTCCTTCTTTTACGCACTCCACAATCCCCCTGCTAAACAAACTCATCTCAACACCTTTTGTCTGGTGTCATGAAGACTCTGTCACCACATTTGATGACAAATTCTTTCATGTATAATGCATATGCAGTCTAGAGGGGATGGACTACAGGCCCATGGACCACTGGAAGAACAGGGAATAAAGTTTCCAAATCATCACCACCTCTTTCTCTCCCTCTCCTCCCTAATCTTTTTTCTACTTCGTTAATTATTTATTCTGTTTATATGTTTTTCCTTCCCATCATTGCTACTTCTATTTCCACAAATTCCCAATGTGTTTTTCTGCTTTGTCCTTTTCTTTGCAGTCCCTGCACACCTCTGCTGTAACTCTTCATACTCCATTTCTTTGCTCTCAAAATAAGGAACTATAACCATCTGCCTTCCCATGCTTTGTTCCTTCAATCTCCTAGCATGCTCTAATTTCCTTCTCCAATGACAATCTCGTCCTGCCAAAAAACCTCTACTGAAGTTTTAGGTTAGTCCTCCCATACCCAGCCCTCTGTTGTTACCCTGTTTGCTAGTTGGACAAGAGTCCTCTACTCACTATTAAGCATTCTTTTTTCCCTTCCAAATATCAATCTCTTTGACCCCAATCCATGGACCATCATTATGCCGCTCAGGAGATTTCAGGTACAAGTCTCAACTGATCCTTAGCCTTCCGCCTACCCCACCTAATTTGTCCTTCGCCCTAGATCAGCTCTATTCTCTCCAAAATAGTTGTTTACCAGCCCAGGTTCTCATTCAGTGCTACTCCACCTTATTTAATACTTGAGTTACCTCTACAATGCTTCAACTGCGCACAGCACTCATTCCTATAAGCAGGACCTGGATCCAGCCTCTACCATGTACAAACTTAAGAGTCTTCTTCATAAAGGCTATACAGTAAATCTAACTAAGACAAATGACCACCGTAAGCCAAGGGAGGGAAAACCAGGAGATTTAAAAAAAAAAATGGGGAAGAATAAAATCTGCAACTTTTGAATGGCTAGCCAAGTACATCAGCAGTTTGTTGGTGCAGATTCCCTTTATTCATTCTCAGTTCAGCTATGTAACGCCTCTATCTTCCCTCTGCTATTTCCAGAGAGGTGTTTTTGCTAACTTTTCCTGAGCCTGAAAGATCTGCTTTGTCACCTCCACCACACCCACTGCCTTGTCACTCGCAGGCCTTCTACATTGTGGGCTCTAATAATTTTCAGGTAATACATAAATAATAGACCTTCAGTAAACTGCCTTGTTATGTTTTGGACAACACAGGTCACAAATAGAGCCCAGTTAACAGGTGAAAGATGAGGCAGGAAGGCCTGAGGACAACTCCTTCTGTAGCTAATCCCAAACCAAAGGTTCTCATTGACTTTCTGTAGGACATCATGTCTGCTCTAAGTGTCGGCCAACAATTTAAATGAATGTTTCCTAATCCCCGACTACTGGAGATATCAAAGTCTGGCAAATACCACACTGAGTCTCTTCTTCAAGAGGTTTTGTTGTCTATAGCTACGGAAGTGTTCTGCAAATTTAACAGTCGACACAGTATATTTTTCCAAGGCAAATTTCTCTGGTGGACGAGCATTTCTGGTTGGGTTCATGCGACGTGCTATCTGGCCTTCAGAAAATGTCCTCCTTGGAATTTTCTTCTGTTTCTGGAAAAGAGAAGACGATTCCAGTAACTGTCCTTTCAGTTATGTTTGTAGTGTTAAACACCAGAAATTATCTCAAAATGTCTGCACCACACTTGTACTATCATGAATGAATCTGTTCTTCTCCCACTCCTTTTTTGTTAAGCCAAACCTCACCAATTTCTAGCATACTTAAAAGTGTTCCCCCTACATGCTACACCTTTTTGATCCTTTCAAAACACCACACTTTCACAGTCAAATTCTATTCCAATCAACATCACAGAACTATACCAAAATTTTTTGTATAGCTTATTAAGGTAGAAGCTAGTTCTCACTGTTCTTCAGCAGCTAAAGGTTCAGATTTTGCTACAAATCAAAGACATCTTCAAGCAATAATCTGAATTCTAGTTTATTTTCTTTTCTATTTTTTAAATTGAAAGGGCGTTAGTAAGTTTCTTCTACTTCCAGAGTCCTAGATCTGGAAATTACTAGGAGGCACAAGATACCCTTTTCATATTGTCACACCTGCTAATTATTGCATGATTGAATTCATGCAACCAAAGTTCTGCAGAGACACCTACCATAAAGCCATCTACTCAATCTGACAGGATAAACAAGATGTAGGAATCAAGTCTACTTGCTACTGTACTCTTTAGTTATTTCCTTCAAAAGAAGCAAAAGACACATCACAAGGAGACAGGCTGGAAGTCAAAAACCAAGCAGAAGAGATAACTAGAATACTCCTGATGCCCTCCCCCTCCTCAGTTAAAGATACTAAATAAAAATAGCAGGCTTATGTATGTATTCAAAGAATGTTTAAGTTTCTATAGCATTTAACTAGAGCTAGCAAGGCTCCAGCCTTTCAAAGACTAGAACTTGGCTTCACCTTTTCACCTGACAACCACCACACCAGCATTTCTACATGGGCTTCCCAAAGACACAGCCCTTCAATTTGTCCTCAAATCTGTTCAGTTTATAATACACGTGGAAAACCATTACTCTATGAAGAACCTAGAGGGGTTGACAGTTCTCTGCTTCTAGCCAAGGAAAGTCAGTTGAAATAACTACAGTATCATTCTGGGTTCATGTTGAAGTGGTTGAATTTCATCAGCATTGCTCTAGTGAGAAGCGTGGATTTTAAAAGAAAAGCCTGCAAGAGGGAAATTAACATTTCCTCACATAACCTCTGGTACTTAAATACTAACCAACAGCAAATCTATACAAATAAAGCAACCAAAACCAAAGAAAAAACAGAACAAATTTGGTGAAAGTGTTTCATCAGGAAACACACTAATCCTAAATCTAGCAATAACAACTGTCACCTCTAGCCAGTACCTGAGACTTACCGAAGGAGTCGAGGTGGGCGTTTTCACTGGGAACAGGTCAGGTATGGAATTCAGTTCTGCCAGCAGCTGGTCAAGCTGAAATCAATAGCGATGCGGCGTTGAAAACTCACTGCAAACTTGCAAATAAGCAACACCTATCATCCACTCTTCACACACGCTCCAAATTATATCTAAACACATGAAGTCTCAGTGCATGAAACCTTTCTGGAGGCACTTTATTTAAGTGGGGCTCATAAAAGTGGTTAATTTACCCCTCAATGAGCAAACCTCCACAGGCAGTACTAACTTCACAGCTCCCATTAATTCTTCCTGAGAATTAGAATTAGCTAGAGTTACATCCAATCTTGTTGAAACAGCACTGAAGGAGCGCATTACAACATGGTTACAACCGATAACAAGAACTTCACAGTTCATATGACAGGAGGGGGAAAAGGAAGACAGGGTGCCCTTGGCCAGAAGACTGTAAGATGTTGTCCATGGGCTATTTTACTGAATGACTACTAATAGACCTGTGCTTTTTGCCAGGGAACTCAGAGCATCCCCCTAAGCAGTGACACTGCAGCATGGAAACTTTGCTCATTGTTTTTCAGTGGTCCTTAGCAGCAATGACTAGGAATATCCCTTTTTCAATCATGACAGCTAGTGCTGATTTCACAAATGCTGCAAACCACAGCCAGTAATGCTGCATACCCATCGCTTTGTGCGGATGCACACCGCAACATGGGTACACGTTCATTTGCAAAGTCATAAAACAACTAAGCCCCACTGCTGGTTCCCCCAGCCATGGCGTATGCAGTATCAGAAGCACTTCAGAAAGACAATCTGTTGCACCATGTAGGCGATGTCTAGGAGGTACATTTCAACAGAAACAGTGGCTAACAGCTCCAAGAAAAATACTGACCTGTTCTGGAAGGCCAGGACGAGGCTATCTTCTGAAAAGCCAGCAACAGTGGGGATGAGCCAGGCTGCTAGCTGTCTCTGAGACCGCCATAGCAATCATGAGATTAAAAGCTGGATACAGCATTTCTCAGTAAATACTTCAGTGTGGCATTTATTAAGAGCTATTTAATGTCATTACAGTACCGCAACTAGGATGCCAATGAATTTTGCAATGGTTGAACTAGAGGGAAGAGCAGAAGGTAAGAAGGGTGGAAGAGCAGCAAGACCAACACAACAGCAGTGAGGATACAAGACAGATTAGAAACACAGGTACAAAACTAAAGCAAGTTTTTACGTGGGAGCTGCAGGCCCACACACCCAAGAGGTGTATTTGAGCCCCAAGACTGCCTGGAAGCTGCAACTTTTCCTGGAATACAGTAAAACTGAAGGAGTCACTGAGGACCCAACATCAACTCGGATTTGCACAGCAGCATGGTAATTCAAGAGAGCTGGTGGCATTTTGGACAACAAAGGAAAAAGCATTAGAGAACGATCAGTGTCTCTCTTTTCCGCACCCACACGCACACATACACACACTTTCAGTAGTTATATAGCAAAGCATAACTGTAAACATCACATCCCACACAACAGAAAAATTGCATTTATCATCCTTAGCAGTTTTTAGCTGGCTTTCCAATCAGAAACTGCAGCAGATCTGTCAGACACAAATGAAAAGTAGAAACTCCATTGTGCACATGACACCACAAACTACCTGAAGGGACCAGCTGGTTTTCTGACATGTTCTGAATACAAGACTGCAACTTGGGCATCTGTAAATTTGCTCACAGTCACATACAAAATGCTTGGTTCAACTCTGGTCTTAAACTTGAGCGGGCTAGTCCTACTTGAGGCTATTTTAGGGGTAAATGTCTTGAGTGCTGATGGTCCTCTGGGGTTCTCCCAGGTAGAAAAATTCAAACACAAACCACCATGAGATTTTCCCAAAGTCCCAGCACAGCACCAGCAGGGGACCCCGAAATTCAAGTGTGCTGAAGCTAAGTACTCAGATGTAAATGTCAGAGAACAAAGCACTGCTCGTAAGTCTTACCATGGCTTTATTTTCTTTAATATTCATGGCTCTCTTAAGCAGAGCACTGCAATTTTCCTCCTGTGTTTCTTTAATGTCTTCTTCAGACTCTGAAGCAGAAGCCTCTAGTTTGTCCCACCGCTTGCAGTTTATTTCTTTTGAAAGAGGTGTGATGGATTCACTGTCCTTTAGAGGTAAGTTAGACAAATCCTGTTCAGGCACTTTTTTCTCAGATGACTTTCTGGTGGGAAACTGCAAGGCAACACGAAGGCCAAAGCTTCTTCTCTTGGAGGAGACTTTCTTCTTTGCCTCCTCCTCTTCTTCCTCACTACCCAATAAATTATCGCGTTCTTCAACACTCAAGTCTGACTCCATCGCCTAGAGGCAGGAAGAATCCCATGTTACATTATTGGCTGAGACACAAAAAAGGTCATTTTTAAATCACTAATTCTAGGCAGCAGTCTCACCACCCAAAGGCACTGTCATAAATTCATCTAAATCAGCAAATTTTTAGAAGTTCACAGTACACGACTTCTCCCTGTGCAGAGACCAAAAAAAAAAAAAATCTACATATTAATATCGTCTGGGATACAGACATGGCTGTCTTCAGAGGAACAATCTTGCCCAGCACAGTCAGTCTCCAAGCAGGGGAAAAAGTTCTCATTTCTAATGTGATGTTTACATTAAATAAAGCTTTTTTTCTTTTTTAGGATAACACATATTTTGCTTCAGCATGAAGAACGAACATCAGTATCAGAAACACTCCTACTAGAACATGAGGTTTACACAGAAAAAAAGAAGTGAACGTATACATTCACGTGTAGGTGACTGCCTTTACCAGAACTCCTTTCTCGTTCACATCCATGTCGCTTGAAGCGAAGCCTTCAAACGCTTCCGTTTCAGAGTCAGTGTCTTCAGTGAAAATCCTCCGCAGTTCTTCAGTGAGGTATCTGGACTGAAATCGAACCCCCTGTAAAAATACCAGCCAGTAATTGTGAGAGACAGTCAGATACAGAGTAGTCACACAGTCACAATAAACAGGTTCTGAGGTTCAAGCAGGTACTGACTAGACGGTATATACTGTGAAAGCACTTTGCAGGCAAAGCCTGTCAAAAGAAAAAAGGAGAAGACATTCAGAGTTTCAGCACCAAGTTATTTTAACTTAACAGGATTTTTTTTTTCCTCATTTTGAGCACAGGGCTTTAACTGAGCTGCTTCTTGTGCAGGAAACTGTCTTCCTCGCCTCTTCCTCATCTTCACTACTGCCCGATAAAAATAAACTATCAGTTTCCTGATGTGTAAGTTATCATGCCATTTTGTATGTTTTCTTCTGGATGTAAACAAACAGGCATTGAATGGAAGAAAATACAAACCACAACCACAGTAAGAAAGAGCCCTCCTTTTTTTCACTTAGCAGTAGAAACAACACTCTCCTCTGGGCTTGCTGCGGCAGTACCCAAGGCTCCTGGAGACGGAGTCTGCTCCTTCTCATGCTGTTACGCCACCACTGAAGTGACAGATACCAACACAAAACCACAGAGCTTTGAACAGCCTGACTAACATCCCTCCACCTTCCAACTGCTCAACTCGCTCCGTTTTAATGGTGCAGTTGATCATTCAAACATGTTCTAGGGCAGACGGATCCTAAATTTCTGCCTACAGACTAGGAAGTAAAAAGTCAGCCCATGAAAAATAAACTAAGATCTCATTAAAACACTCTTCACGATATGCACATTACATGCTAATTAAACACAATGCATTTACTAAATTGGACATACTTCCAATCAGAATTAGTAGAAGACCATGTGTCAACATGTCCCTGTTAATCTCCTGAAAGACTCGTTCATGGTGGACCATAACCCACGTTCACACCACACCTGCCTCTTTAAAGTCAGCAACACTCACTGAAGTTTGTTTCCCCAATTTTCCTCTGCTATTTCTTCCTTCCATGCGAGATACAAAAATGACCTTTCATACAATGCGCCTGCTAAGTATCTTTATTCTTCCTTTCAATTCCCTCCTTCCCCGACATTAATTACACACTTCTTTACGTTAAGATAATATCTGGTGCAAAACAGATACAACAGATGAGTGGAAAAACTTACAGGGGAATAGGAGGGGGGAGCTACTGCATATGCTGTTTCTTTACACTTAAACATCTCCTATAAATTATTATGGGTAATTGGAATGAGTTTTCTCTAAGCAAAATTACTTTATTCTTTTGTTGGTAGCTGCAGTGCAGCTGCCTGAGAAAGGAACAAACACAATAGGGAAGTTACTTTAAAGTTAAATTGCCTTTCCTGGAGGGAAACTGAAGTTTTTATGCATTCTGTGTTTTCATGAAATTCCACAGTGAAGGTTAAGGGGGAAAAAATAAGCTGTTTGTTAGCTAAAATGACTAAAAATAACATATCTAGAGCTACGCTGTTACCCCTATGAAGAATGGTCTACGCAAGGTAAAATAGCATCAGGGATACCTATAGGAGAAACAGCTGAAACTCAGCAGAAGTGCAGGGATTATGGGAGTAGAACTGCAGAAAGCCCTGAGGAAAAGCAGACACACCAAGGTCAATACTTGTTAATGCGTTTCCGCATCAGCATCCAAGGGAACATCGGATGCACTAATATCCCATTCACCACCCCGGCAGGGCAGCTGCCTTGCCTCCTCTCCCAACAACTTCTGCATTTTCCTGAACTTCCCATTGTTTTGCTTTTCCCACCAAACCTTCTCATTTTCTGCACAACAAGTACCTATGGTCTTTCTCAGTGACAATGGTGTTTGGCATGATAAATGGATGGAACTCAGGGTAAAAAAAAATCATGCTTTTATTGTACCATTTAGTGGTAAAGGAGTTAAATTCAATACTGATGGAGATGTAAAATAATTCTCAGCCCAAGGGAAACAAAGGATGGTGAGGAAGGCTGCAGTGCCAGCTGTAAATTTGGAACAAGTCTCACTGGGATTCCCAGTAACGCATGTTAAATTAACAGTACCTAGCTCTTCCACACCATTTTTCATCAGAGGATTTTAAAATGCTTTGCAGCCAAGATCATTATCATAATCTCCATCTCACAAATTGGAAAACCAAGGCAGAGAGAAGTAAAGTAAGGTGCCTGCAGTCCCCATGCAGGCAGCAGAAGCAGCAGCTCAGGCTCCCGCACATGGCCCCCTCTCCACCACCACCACCTCTCCTCGTTGATCCTTCTTCACGCTCCACACAAAGCCACAGATACAAGAGCAAGCTACCTCCTGGTTTTCTGAAGTTACCAGTACCGCTGTCTAGCAACAAGATGATGAAGCAATTTAGAGCCAAGTATATTTCGTCGCTTTTAAGGTGCCGTCTTTCTCCACAGCACAGACTTGAGGCTCTACTCCCAAACAGCTTCTGCATTTTGTACAAGCCTCTCTGAGGCCATATGCCTACGAAGGCTTAGAAATAGCACATACTCATACAAGCCTCATTCTGTCTGTTCCCTTTGCTAACACCAGTCATATTCCTTGTCTTCAGCAACTCTTAACCAGCTATGGAAAAAAGGAAAAAAAAACAAAAAGAAAAAAAAACCACCAAGGAAAAAAACCACCAAGGAAAAGAAGGGACATTTTCAATTTTTTTATTAATGGAACAGAGGGACCCTTTTGAGAACACATCTGACAAGGGTATCTTTTAACACATTAGCCCATATCTATCAAGTATATAATTACAAGCTTCTATAAGACTAAGAACTACATTTTCTGGCAGCCAAGACAGCACACCAGTTCTCTTCCTTTCTTGTGAATTCGACTGGTACCAAGTCAGAAAATGAAAAACATCAAATCGTTATGCTGATGCAAGCTACTTCACCATTAGGAGAGCAGAGAACCAGCAAATCTCACAATCAAAGCAGGAGCTGATGACTTCTGTGGGTCACCACCATTAAAACAGCAATGTTAGTGCAGAAAAAGCACTAATACAAATTAGTGCAGAAACAGCACTGATATAAATCTCTGGAAGAAATACCTTGAAGTCTGCATACTCACAAAACCCATCTATTACCATGCATTTCCACTGTCTTATGTATCCAAGAGCACACCAGCCCAGGATGGTAATTCTCTCCCGTTTGCTTCACTTACCTTCTTCACTTAAACTCGCCATCTAATGAAACCCATTTTCCTTATACTATGAAAGAGTTTTTAAAAGCAATCATCAGAACCTAAAAAGGATAACAAGTTTGTTTAAATTTATTTTTAATACAAGGACTGAAGATTATGGGTTTTGCTGCGAGTTATGGCTCGTGCAGCCTTGACACAAGCTCAGAGTACTACTGCACCAAAAGAGCGTAACTGGGCCGCAGCTACCCATTCCTACCTTTTTTCCTGACTCCAGGGAATCAAAACTAGCATGGCTGTCCTCTGACAACAACCTCTGTCTGGAAGCATCATCTTGGAACCCCAGAAAATCTTCACTGTCACTGGGGGCATTAAAAATGTCAGCCACTTCCTTGGGTATCTGTTTCTGATTCAAAATGAGACAGAAGATGCGAGTCAGACACGCCAACTTAACAGGAAAACTCAAATTGGCAACAGTACAACTTATTTTTATACTCCTATGCAAGTACAAATTTGTATCACAAAATACACTATGCGTAGCAAAACTGTACCTCATTTAAGTAAACTCCAGGAAATTCTGTACGGGTGGTTTTAATCCCTAAACACAGACTCCAGATTTGGGGCGAGGGAGCGGATGCAATATGCAGGATGTTTAACTCCATACAACAGTGCTTCTCAGATGTAAAAATATGTGTGTGCCTCACCTTTGCAAGCACATGCTCAGAGCACCCTTTATCCATAGTGAAACCCACCACCGCTCCTCCTCGATGGCTCAGAGGTGAGGAACACACCTTCAAATATAATGCAATGCTAAACAAGCACAAAGAAACCCTACCATTAGATTCGACACGAGTACTGTAACACATTTTATCAGACACCTACCTAACTCCAAAAATAAAACCAATGCAACTCATTCTCTTTCGTCAGTACTACCGCAGAGCTTTTTCCACCACGCTTGGTAAGAAAGTGAAAACCCATTTTAACCAAGAACATTTCTCGTTTGCTCACGATGTAGTCCGCCAGGAGGAAGCGCTGCCACGGGCAGGCAGTGGCACCAAGGTCACAACTTCAAAGTTCAAGAAGTCCAGCCCCGGCACGGAAGGAGACTTGCACCACCAGAGATAACCATTCCCCTGCCCACGTACTTCACCAAGCACTTCGGACAAGCCTTTCCATGTAACGGGACAGTAAAGAAGCCTTCAGGCAGCTCCCACCTTGGCTGCTTTAAGATTTGGTGTGTGGAAGGACGGGATGAATGGACCCAGCTTTAAAAACCGAGGCGGAAGGCATTTTGCCAAGTTTCAGAACATGGTTTTACACATCCCAGTATCATTTGCAAAACCATTCTGCTGTTCACAGAAATGCTCGGGGAGAAAAGCGTCTGCATCGCTCACCAGCACCCAGGCATTTATCTTCCACGTCCCCAGGACCGCATGTACACGTCACGCACGCTACTCTTACTCCAAGCAAGCCTCTCTGCTGTTTGCTGTGTGCTAAAGCCACATCTGGATTTCCCACTCTTCTTGCTAACTCTGAGGAACATGAGATCAACAGCTGCCTGGTGAGAGGGCCCAGTTCCTCAGCCGAAGGAGATCTCCAGCCCTGAATATTCAAGAGAACATCCCTGAGATGAACTCCAGAACCAAGAGCAGCCTGCCCTTGTCTGCTGTCAGAGACAACCAAGGTTGCTCATGCAGGGCCCCATATAATGATTTTTTTTTTTTATTTTGTCTTTTTTTTTTAAATTTATCTGTGCCAAGGCAAATAGCCCAAAGGAGGCTCATTCTCAAAAATAATGTTGCTGACAAAATTCCACTTCCATTGGAAGAGCAAGCAGCACCTCAACCTCTGAAATAAGTTACAGTAATGGGCATACATG